AACTGAGCCACCCAGGCGCCCTTCAAATAAATAAAATCTTTAAAAAAAAAAAAAAGAAATTCCAGTGAAGGGTGACTAGCTTATACCATTTCTTCCATAATTTAAATTACTTTACTTTTGTTCCTGTTTTTGCCTCTGTGGAGATTCAGGGAATCTCTGATAGCTATTAGAAAATCAGCCGTGTCGCCTGGGTGGCTCAGTCAGTTAAGCATCTGCCTTCGGCTCAGGTCATGATCCTGGGGTCCTGGGATTGAGCCCCATGTTGGGCTCCCTACTCATCGGGGAGTCTGCTTCTCCCTCTTCCGCTCCCCCTGCTCATGCTCTCTCTCTCTCAAAGAAATAAATAAAATATTTTAAAAAAAAAGAAGAAGAAAATCAGTCTTACAGGGGCACCTGGCTGGCTCAGTTGGTAGAGTGTGCAACTCTTGATCTCGGGGTCATGAGTTCGAGCCCCACGTTGGGTGTAGAGCCTACTTAAGATTAAAAAAAAAGAAAGAAAATCAGCTTTACATATATATTAAATTGATTCTCACTCACCTTTCTCTTTCATTTCAGAGTCCTGACATTTGTAGTATCTCACACCTGTCTTTTTTTAACTCTCACAACTGTCTTTTTTTTATTCTCGCAACTGTCTTAATTCTGTCTGTAAGCAAAACAATGAACATATTGTTAACATTGTGGTATCTTAAACTCTGTCAGGCCTCCCCTAAAAACTGGAGTTATTGGTGGTGACTTAGTTCATTCAGCTCAATGACCTGTTTAGTTAGAGAGATGTTTAGATTCACTTCACTCCAAGGTAGTTTTGAGTGATTTCCTGGATTTACCATTTAAGGATCTTGCCAGGAAAGAAACTATATGAATGTTTAATCTCTGTCCACATTTGTCCTGTTTGCTTTTGTGTGGTTAGTACTATATGTTGAATATAGTCAAGTGTTGCTTGAAGAAATAAAGTACAATTGCCCCTTTTTCTTTGAATTCCAGGGCTCCAGTACAAGTCATCCACAGATCAGGAGCACCAGTTCTGTCCCTCCTGAGTTTCAGAGATGGATTTATTGCTAGCCACGGTGGGTCCAGGGGCCCCTTGACAAAGATGGCTTCCTGTAGTTCATTTAAACATAGGGTTAGGGGTGCCTGGGTGGCTCAGTCTGTTAAGCATCTGACTCTTGATTTCACTCAGGTTGTGATCTCAGGGTCGTGAGATGGAGCCCCGCATCAGGCTCCATGCTGTGTGGAGCCTACTTAAGATTCTGTCTCGTGGGACGCCTGGGTGGCTCAGTTGGTTGAGTGTCTGACTCTTGATTTTGGCTCAGGTCATGATCTTGGGGTTGTGAGAATGAGCCCCGTGTTGGACTCCATGCTGGGTGTGGAGCCTGCTTGAGATTCTCTCTCCCTCTCTCCCTACCCCCGCTTAAAAAAAAAAAAAAGATTCTTTCTCCCTCTGCCCCTATCCCCGCATCCCACCCCTACTCCCCCATTCATGCCCCCTCTCTCTCTAAAAATAAATAAACATAGGTTTAAATGCGTGATCTATGGTGGGGCTAGGGGCATGGTCCTCCATGATATTTCGGCATATTGTTTTTATTATATAGTGTTTATCACTCTACACTGTGATTGTCTATATCTCCCCCCAGTGCAGACTCCTTGAAAGTAGTGACTGTGCCTTATTCATTGTAATATAACTGTTTTCAGAGGATGAAACTAAGACCAATAAAAGAAAGTTACCAGGAGCCACATTTCAGTTGAATATAAGTAAGAGAGAGCTGGCATTTTAGAGAGCACTACTAACTTGGGATGGAGAAGCATAGGCTGGTTGGCTACTATGCAAGGTGTTGTGAAGGGAATTTAGTACTAGTTTAGAAGTTGGATATAGATGATCTTTGAGGTCCTTTGTAACTCTTTCACTAGAGAGGAGATTGAAATTGCCAGATTAAACAATTTTGAAACTTTTTATTATGGAAATTGTCAAAGGAGATACAAAGGTAGAGAGAATAGCATAATGAACCTGATATACCCATCATCTAGTTTCAACTATTACCAATTTATAGCTAATCCTGTTTCATCTTGTTTTACACATTCCCTTATAATCCCCAACCATTGTAATATTTTGAAACATATCACAGACATTGTATTATTTCACCTGTCAATATAAGTATTTCTAAAAAATAATAATTCTTCTATTTAAAAGATGATTTTTGGGGTGCCTGGCTGGCTCAGTTGGTAGAACGTGCAACTCTTGATCTTGGGTTGTGAGTTTGAGCCCCATGATGAGTGTAGAGATTACTTAATAAAGTGAAATTTAAATTTAAAAAAAAAGATGATTTTTAATAATAATACGAGAAAGGATAAGGTCTTCCTGTATGCTGCTGGTTGGGGTATAGATTAACAGATAAAATAAAATTAATTAACAGTTGTTTTTGACAGCAGTTTTTCAAATTTTAAAAAGCTTGAAAAGGTTAATTAAATTAAAAAAAATTTTTTTCCTGGATTCTTTACAAAGTCACAATGTTGATACAGAAAAACTTTATGCATAAAGATAATTCTTTTATGCAGTATGCTCTCAACCATGTAAAATAAAAATTTGCACAAAAAGGATTGGAAAAATACATAAAAATGTTAACAGTAGTTATCTTTGAGTGGTAGATTGAGTGATTTTTTTTTTTACTTCTGTTTCTTTGTTTTTAAAGTTTTCTTCAATTAGCATAAACTATTTTTATATTAAGTACAACAATAACAAAAAAAATACCTTATTCAGTTTACAGATCATCCCAAGTCTCATTTGTCCATGGTCTTTTAAGAAAATTAAGTTTAAAAATAAATATACTTTTATTTTCTTGGTGTAACAACTTTGCTCCTTTGCCTCATGTATCTGGTCAAGTTTATAGATTGAAGAATAATTTGGGAGCACATTAAAACATTTATATAGACAATTCCCTGTTAAAAATCATTGTCCAGGGTAAGTCTGCAATCAGATGTATAAGCCTGCGGTTGCTTGCTCCGTGCCCTTGGCAGGTATTGCTAATCAAAGACAGCCCTTCTTCCCACTGAGCTTGTACTTGTCCTTCAAATCCTCTAACCCAGCATTCTAGGCAGCCACTGTAGATCCTCCTATCTGACCCACATAATGAGACCTGTTTGCCATTTTGGGTCTTGGGATGATCTTCTTTAGGCTCGTGATGTACAGAAATAAACTAAAATACTGATTTTTTTTTAAGCCTCTTTGTGTGCAGCTTTTTTTTTAGTTATCTAAATTTTTCTTTTTGACTTTTAGGTGATGGAAGCTGTTTCATTGTCCAGCAAGACCTAGACTATCTCATTGAGCTCACTGGGGCCGACTGTGACCCTGTGTTCAAGGTACAGGCCTGAGAGGCACCTGGGTGATTCTCACCTGAGATCTAGGGCTTTTGAGGGGACTGAATCCAGCTACTTTGTGGGCATTCCGGAAGATAAAATACTTACAGATGCGATAAAAGGAAGTGAGAATTTTGAGTCAGAAGTGATTTCACCACTTTTTAGCTCTAGAAACTTGAAAAATCATTTTACCTCCTTAGTCTGTCAATTCTTCTGTAAAATGAAAGTATTAATGAGATAATGTATGTGAAAAATAGTTGTAAATTTTAAGTCTTCTACAAAGATTAGCTGTCATTATTATTATTATTTAAAGTTCAAGACTGGTTATCTCATTTGATTAGAAAGAGAAAAACAAAAGGGGAAGTAATATTTATTGACTAGACATTGTGCTGGATGTTTTACATGTATCATCTTATTTCATTGTTGTTACTATTCTTGAGGTATAGGTATTATTATTTATATTGTTTTTATAATGTAAAAGTTATACAGCTAATACATACCTATAAAAATTCAAACAATACAAAATTATACAGACTTTAAAGTCCCCTTTAAGACCTTTTTAGTTCCACTCTTCTTTTTAGAAGTAACTAGCATTAACAGTTCAGCATGTATCTTTCAAGACTGTTTTTGGGGCGCCTGGGTGGCTCAGTTGGTTAAGTGACTGCCTTCGGCTCAGGTCGTGATCCTGGAGTCCCGGGATGGAGTCCCGCATCGGGCTCCCTGCTCGGCAGGGAGTCTGCTTCTCCCTCTGACCCTCCCCCATCTCATGCTCTATCTCATTCTCTCTCAAATGAATAAATAAAATCTTTAAAAAAAAAGACTGTTTTTGGAGCATTTGCACTTACATCTTTGTTTTATGTATTTATGTAAATAATACAGTTTTACCTTTAGTTTGTGCATAACTGAAATTCTATATGTATTGTATTGTTCTATGACTTTTTTTATTAACATCTTAGAGCTCTTTTCAGATAAATGCATATAGATCCACTTCATTTTTAAAAATTCCTGCATAGTGTTCTATATTGTGAATTAACATACCATTTTCATTTTATAAGTGAGGAAACTGGAGTCCAGAGTGGTTGAGAAAGTTGCCCTAAGTCATGTAGGTACACATTAGCAAACCTGAGATGAAGCTACCTCCAGAATTCATGCTTCTTCCGCTAAATTAGTGGTTCTTAACCTTTGAGTCTCAGGCTTTTTCTTTTCTTTGTTTGAGGGACGATACAGACTTTACTGAATTAGGTTTTTCTATTTAGAACTGAGATCTCATCTACATACTGTTTTGCTGGTCTGCATGAGTACATTAATCCTAATGAGTTTAGATTTATGATGAGTGGGCTCAAACATACAACAACATACACACACACACAAATTGTTTTTAAAAAGTAGCACATATGTTATGTTCCTATAAAGCCAGTT